GCTCAAGCCGTTTCATACATATATTATTACTAGCCGTTCTGGACGTGCTTTGCGCGTCCGTCACGGCCAGCCAAGGGGCTACGCCCCCTGGCCGTGAATGTCACTCGCTACGCGAGTGACATTCAGCTCGCTCCGCGAGCCATTCTTCTCAGTGATTGGACATTTGATCACTAAGATGTATACAGTTTGGAGACTCTGAAGAAAAACATGATTTCGTCACAGAACCTTGTTGCCGGAGCGTGCCATCATTTGCACATGAACAGATGTGTGGAGATGAAGCGATGATGGGGATCGATCATGCATTTCTTCAAAAACGCATTTGACAGGAACGTCATCCCATCGGGTGGCGGAAAAAGACAATCCATGGATCTCCTTCCGCGATTTGACTTGCTGAAGTAGCGAAAGTTCATCTTTACCTCTTAAGAAGATTATCGGTGGCGTAGGGGTCTAAAAACTGCTCAACGATAGTATAGTTCGAGTTCCGAATCGCAATGAGCCCACTCGTGTTTTTTTCTTATACTTTCATCGCATAGGTATAAATTTCTCTGATGTTTTTGTTTTATCCTCTGTGATTGCATATTAGTAATCATATTCTCTTTTCATTTCCTTTCCCTTTCCTTTTTCCCTTTCTGTGGCATCTGTGTCCATTTACAATTATTATTTTAAAATAGCTTTCCCCTAGTATACAATTGATAATTCAAACGGAACCAATTGTTTTAATGACATTTCCGGCTAAATCATGGGCTTTCCCAGGAAGGCAGCCTCTCGTCCCTCCTTGACTCTATTGATGCCGGTTAAGTTGCTTTTTTACCGCTTTTCCCAATTCAAATCCATCTAAAATATTCATATTTATCGCATAGTCTGGCAACCTATCGAGTGAAATAGAAAAAGGTAGAATCGCTGAAAGTCTGAATCCTTCGAAGTTTATATTAATGATGGACCTCTCGGCTCAATTGGATATACTTCCCATTGATATGGGTCAGTTGCGCTGGTCATAGAAACTTGTTTTGATGATGGATTCCTATAGATCAGCTAAAAATAATAAGATCCGACCAAACAGAGAATTTTTATGTTCAATATTAACCGAGTTATCGTCCTTTGAAAACTCGGGTTTTTGACATCATCCACCGCAGTATAGTGACACCCTTGGTTTCTTCCACCTTGCTTTTATCAGTTCGGAAGCATAGGCGTAGCTAGGGGGGTCCTGGGGGGGCCTGCCCCCCCCCAGAAAAACGGGATCCTCCATTCCTCACCTCCCCCCCGCTCTCTTCACCACGAGAGGTGGTCCCATGGCCCCNCCCCCCCCCCCCCAGAAAAATTTCCTAGCTACGCCCCTGTTCGGAAGACACACATTTACACTGGTTACTCAACACAAAACTAGGTTGAAAGTAAGATGGAAGAAACCAAGTGTGTTACTACCGAGGTGGATGACGCCGTACACCGAATTTTTCAAAGCGCGATATCTCGGTTAGAACGTAGAAAGTTGCTGTTCGGACATATCTTATTATCCTTAGCTGATCTACAGGAATCAAGCATCGGAACACGATTATGTGACCAGCGCAACTGACCCATTAGAACGGATGTGATCAAACGGCCTAATCTGCTAAAATATATGTTTTAAAAGGGACATGCTGCTTGATAACTCGACGGTAGGCACGTTCCCTCATTTTTAAATCTATTCTCGATTAATATCCCGTATTCAGAAACAAGTTATAAAAAATACTGATGAAAACTTATCTCATCACTCTCAGATGAAGCACTAGCATCATTTCGTGCAACGCCCCAGTCGGTGTTTTTGCTACCTCTAGCTGCTATCGAGGCAACTTGAACATTAATTTTTAAGGTCATTTTAGGTCCTACTGGTCCGAGGATTCCATCGAGGCACATCCGACAAAATTTCATAGACAAGGAACGACTCTAAGCTTTCTATTATACAGGGTGATCCAACAGTCCCTTCCACCCCCTCTAACTTTTTACCTAATTGAGGTAAAGATTTGAAACTTTGGGGGATGTCCCTAGGTCAAAGGGAGCTACTTTTTGGCCCCCCTAAAATTTTCAGGGGGTCCCTTTAGGGGGGGGGGGGCAACGGACCCCAACTTTTAATCTTCAAATGGGAACACCCCCTTTGTGATAGCTCGTTCGAAAGAGCATAAAAAAAGAAAACGTTTCGCGCAAATTTGAAGTCAATATCTCAAACCGGTACAAAATGGCGGCCGGTTAAAGTTCAAAATGGCCGAAAATTCACACAGGGTATTTGTCGATGGATTTTCGTGAAAATCGGTAACTGAAGGTATTTAAACACGAGAAAAACGAATTTGACGTTAGATTTTCAAAAAAACCGAAATTGTCAAAATGGCCGCCGGTGAAAATTCAAAATAGCAGAAAATTTGTTTTTTTAGAAATCTAAGTTCAAATGTGTTAATCTTATGCCAAAAAACCCCAAAATTCCAAGTTTTAGGCAAATCTATCAGCAAAAAACCGAGGTGGCAATTCCCAGTCATTTTGAACTTTAACCGGCGGCCATTTCGAAAATTTCGGTTTTTTGTGAAAATCTAACGTCAAATGCGTTTTTCTCGTGTCAAAATACCACTAGTTACCGATTTTCGCGAAAATCCATTGCTAAATAACCTGTTTGAATTTTCGGCCGTTTTGAACTTTAACCGGCCGCCATTTTGTACCGGTTTGAGATATTGACTTCACGTTTGCGCGAAACGTTTTCTTTTTTTATGCTCTTTCGAACGAGCTATCACAAATTGGGTCTTCCCATTTGAAAATTAAAAGTTGGGGTCCGTTGCCCCCCCCCCCTCAAAGGGGGCCCCCCTGAAAATTTTAGGGGGGCCAAAAAGTAGCTCCTTTTGACCTAGGGACATCCCCCAAGTTTCAAATCTTTACCTCAATTAGGTAAAAAGTTAGAGGGGATGGAAGCGACTTTTGGATCACCCTGTATGTACTTTATTCAAAATTGTGCGTAAAACAGGATTTGTGCAACGAAAAGAATCAATGCTTACCATCTCCAAATCAAGTTAATGACGCTTTTATTTATAGCACTGATCAAGAAAAATTTGAATTTCTCGCTCAGAATGAAAACGAGGGCCCTCTTAAATAAAATCGCGCACTCTAGCACTGCATCGGTTTTGGCAGGCTTCCCTATCAAGCAAGATTCCTTCTTGCCATATGTTGTTAAAAGTGCTAGCAACGGCTAAAAGCTGAGCCGAAGTGCCAATATTGAGGTTGTCATATTTTCCTACCATAGGTAGAATTGATCACGAGTTATTACAGTTATTTTCGATACACAGATTGCATTCTACGTGAAATTTTGACGAGAAAACAGGTATAATAATGATTGAATTGGTACCTTCCCTTTATAGTGGTCCATTCGACCACTTTTGGTGACTACATGTTTTTGAATTTCCAGAATGTTGCAAAAATTCGCGATTTTCTATATGTAGAAAATTAGGAAAAAAATTTCTGAACGGAAAATTCGCTGAATTGACGGAACAGGAGATACTTTTGTAGTTTTCATGACAAGGAAATCAAGCAAAAAATTCTGATGTCCCCTAAAGATTGTTTGTAAAAAAAAGTATAGCCCGAAAACTGCATACAAAAACACATTATTCTGAACGAATAAGCCAGAGTTTTTAAAAGTTCGATAAGATTTTAATAACTTATCTTTATTAAAATAGTTAAGACATTCTTATAAAAAATTGATGCATGTTAATAATATTTAAGAAAAGAAAAAGATAAAAGGGGGACATATTATTAAAATGTACATAATTTTTTTCACATATTCCTGAACAACAAAGGTACTTTTGAAAGTAAGTATACCCTATACCATCTTTAAAATATCCATGATAAATATTAGTTTTTGCCCTTATCCAGTTTTTCCAAATTCAAAAAATATTCCGCAATTCGTTCTCACGCACATTCAACAATAAAAATATTCACTTATACAGCACAAATTCGCCCCTCTAATACAGAGGCCTCGTTTGCTCAGTAGGTAGCGCATTCGATTCCTGATAGGCAGGTCCCAGGTTCAATTCCCGACAGGTAGATAATAATTTGAAAGTTGATCTCAAGGAGAATTAATTGACTACAGATTCAGATAGGTACTTAAGAAGTCTATTTTTTTCTTTACGATTTATCATTTTAATCAATTTCAGGAAGCAAGAGTTTTTTTGCGCATAACTTTTTACGTAAAGAAACTCGATTTTTTTACGTAATAAATCTTGTACTCTTTACGAATTATTCTTGTAAAAAAGACTACATCGGCATTTCATTTTTGGTCTATTTTACGTCTTTTTTTACGAATTTTTTTTTGGTAAATTTTACGTCTTTGTGCTACTAGGGTCCTCACCTGACATGGACTAATACAGTGTGGACACTTTTCCGGCGAGTTTGGTAGGGAAGTATGGAAGGCATAACTGATGGGGGCAACGCGGCGTGGCGCGGCAGCGCGCTGTATAGCATTGACGGAAAATGCTGGAGTTGATTTATGTAGGGCGAGCGGCGAATCTGGTGCAGCTGAATGAGGATCCAGGTGTTCTACTCCAGTAAACAGCGTTGTTGCTACGTTGACCCGACTTGACCGTCGGCGCCGGCGCCGCTCCGGGAAAGAAGAAAAACCGAAAATAGGCGTACAGCCGCAAACCAGAGTCCCTTTATAGAGAGAGTTTGCGATTCGTCCCGGATTCTGGCGTGGTCGAACTGGCGAGCTATATATGTAAAGCATCGATCAATTTAAAAAATCTCGGCAGTCCTTGAATTTTTAGTAAAAGAGGGAGGATGTAAGTACGTACTGCACATGAGCCTGAGGAATCGTTCTCAACCAAACAATCGGCAAGATTGAAAGAAATGAAAGCAGATTCCTTTGGATAAAAAAACATTGCATTCAGTAGGTACAATTATCGACCTCTATATCGAATGTGACTTCTTTTTCAAAAAATAATCCTGAGTTCACCTCTCTGAATTTTGCCGAAGTTTTGGTAGAGAATGATGCCTTAAGCTCATGCGCGCAGGGGCCAGGTGTCGTCCTTTCCTCCGCTTTAAAGTCAAAATCTGCCGAAATTGTTTACTTAATCGATGCAGTATATCGCACGCCAGTTTGACTACGCCAAAATCCGGGACTGATCGTCTTAAGGGCCGGTTTTATTAGCTCCGGTCAAATCCGCTTGCTACGTAACCAGGAGATGAGCTATTATTATCCTGTTAAAAAAGAAAGAAAAAAAGAGAAAAAAGAAACCGCCCTAACACCCTTTGTCCGTCACTTATATAGTGTCACTTTTACCCCATCGTCAAAGAGTTTTCTCCAAAAAATTTAGGCTAGCTTGGGATTATTTACAATATCCAATTGTTAGTCACGAAGTCTTACCACCGCCCCCGATCGGGTGGTGCGCGGCATAGCAGTGCTGTATGCAGCGCTGAGAAAAGCTGATTGTGAGTCGAAAACGCACAATAAAGTCCCGGAATAGGTGGACGAGGGGAAAGGGGATGCATCGGCGAGGGCAACGCTCGGACTCGGACCGCGAGGCCCTCGAAAGTCGAACGGGAGGGAGGCGTGAGCTGCGACCAACACCTGATCAGAGGTAAACATTAGCGGCGAGATGCATCACCAAGGTCAGGCGCCTGATCACGATTGATTTGGCTGGACCGCGTCAGTCGAAGTTTGAAGCACCACACACCAACTAACACATTCAAGGAATCTACTTCGAAGGTAAGCGAGCATCGATACAGCGAACAAAATTCGCTTAAATACCAATTTCCCTGAGAACGTCAATCAGAATGATATCTTATAACATGTTGAATCTGTATAATATAATGACGAATATTTATGATGTACGTAATGCCGAATCAGTATGATATCATGCTGGCCCAACATTATAGCAATACTAGCCGTGTTCAGCAAACTGTGCGAGCTGTCACGCCTAGCCGGAGAGTGCCCCTGGACCCCTACCTCCTCGCTTCGCCGATGAACTTGCGACTTGTTAGCGAGCCGCCCCTCATAGCCTATTGACTTTAAAAATAATAATAAGGAGGAGACAGCATCATCGCCACTTTGGTCACGGCTGCTATCTTGGATTTTGGAATTTTGACAATCTGACCAAAAATTCAAGTTTCTCGTCGAAAAATACCCCTCAATTCCAATTTTCAAAAAAATCCGTCGAAAAATACCCCATAAAACCTGTAATTTCGTCTATAATACTACGAAGTCACGCAACAGGATTGAACCTGTTCGGCGCGATGCGCGAGAACAACCTTGTATCCCCAATGCATTAGTATAGGGAGAGACAACTTTTCTTTTTTTTTTGGGGCTTAATTCCGCGGCAATTTTTTCTAAATTTGATTTTTCAGGGATGTAAAAGTGTTTCTCAGCTTCATTTTTGCCAAGTTCGAAGGAAATCGCTTCGACAGTTTTTTTGTAAAGTGTTGATGAAATTTCGGTACCGTAGCTTTATATTTTTAACCAGCAGTGATCAGCTCGCTGTGCGAGCTAACATGCCTTGCCGGGAAGTGCCCCTGGACCCCCGATTCCTCGCTTCGCGATGACTTGCAACTTGCTCCGCGAGCCGCCCCTCATAGCTTTTAATTTTGAAAATAATAATAATAATGAGAAGATCACACCTTCGCCACTTTGGCCATGGCCACCATCTTGGATTTTGGAATTTTGAAAATCTGACCAAAAATTCGAGTTTTCCGTCAAAAAGTACCTTCCATATCGATTTTCACGAAAATTGGATCAAAAATAGAGGAGAAAGAAAAAAAGAGAGGACGTCAAAGAAACATAAGACCACCAGTGAGGAGAATGACCCATAAGATGGAACATAAAGCATGAACGTACAGTTAAAATGGAAGACAGTTGAAAGGAGATACCTAGGTGCAGGCAGGCTAACACGTTGTACGTGACAGGAGTAAAGGGATGGAAAAGTTCGCGAGGGAGCCGCACAGCTGGAAGATGACACAGGACACACCACCGTTGCGCTACTGTGACGTTACGCGACACGATTTAACCTGTTCCGTGTGGTGCGTGTAAATAACCGCGTATCCCCAATGTATTAGTATACGGAGAAACAACTTTTCGCTCTTGCGGGCGTCCAGGGCAACGTTTTCTGATCGAAATAATTTTGATCAACCACTCACAGCAATTATTGCTAAGCATGTACCAAGTTTAAAGGAAATCGCTTCGGCCAATTTTTCTCTAGGGGAGGGGGGGGGCAGAGTGAGCCGGTACGGCAGCTTTATATGGGGGGGGATTCCAAAAATGTGCGCTATGACTGAGGAGTGAATTTCAAAGTGATGCGCAATGACTGACCTACGCAAAGGCGTAGAAAGGGGGGGAAGGGGGGCCTGCCTCCCCAGAATTGGAAATAGTTTCATCTGACCCCCCCCCCCCAGAAATCCTGGATGGTGCAAAAACACCTTCTTCAACGGTAAGTCTCTGTCGCTGTGGCCCGTGAGAGTATGCCTATAAATAACCTGTTGAATGCAACAATTTCAAAGTATTTTAACCTTAAAATACATAAAACTGGGTGATTTTTGAGCAGAAATTGAAGGAAGGTTTGCGCCTCAAGTGCCTCGAGATGCGCTCAAATGGAGTTAAAATTCTACAAATTTTCCGGGGGAGGCCCCCCGACCCCCCGGTGGTGGGGGGCCAGGCCTCCCCAGCAAAATGACCTATGGACAAATTATGGACCTACTTGGAGTAAACTGGGGTCTGCTTTTCAAACTTTAGCATTCGTGACATGACGATAGTCAATTTCTACGGAATTTGAAGAGGTGCGCCTGTTCATTACTAAAATTTCGTGAGTAGGTATGGCCGCACGTATCCGTAAAAATAGAACACAAAATGGCCCAAAATGCCGAGGCATAGCAATCAAGGTCAAGCTATGCTGAAGTCCGTGATTGTTTACAACTATATGGTAACAGTCATTATAACCCCCCCCCCCTCCAATGAGAAACAAGCGAGGGGGGGCACACTTGGAAAATTTAAAGAGGTACCTATACCTATCTCCGAACCGATGAAAGATTCACACGCGTTTTGGACCGAAAGCAGTATTATTAAAAAAAAAATCCTCTTTAAACAGGGAATATATTGGATGTTTTTGTAAGTCCGCATAAGAGCCAGGCTATTAGCAGTTTCTCTCCATTTTTTTTTAAAAATGGCAATAAAATTGAAAAGATCAACAGTCGAACCTACCCTAAAAATTACTAGAGTCGCATGGTGGAAAAATGTTCTTGGCGGGAGTTACAGCCTTGGGTGGAGACCCGTCGTCGAATTTCGCTCTGCTCAATTCCAGAGTTCAGAGAGTGAAACCAGCATCCGAGCAATTCTTATTTGATTCCTCAATGTTGGCTTACATTCGGTATAGATTCATCTTAATTATACCAATATGGCAATGAAGGAAAGCAACTGAAAGAAAAGTCGATGAGTTAGGAATGGTAGTGAATGAATGGTAGGTAACCAACGAATTTTAATTTCGCAAGTTGCCGCCTCTCTCAGCGTTAAATCATGATGAGATTGATTTAAATCTGCGGATCATTAGAAAGAGGTCATCCTTTGCTTGATCTTAGGTGATGGTTTCAACCTTAGCTCCGCCAAAAATAATCGCTTTAGTTCTGCCCGCAGTGGCAAACAGAGCCATCCTGTGTCATGACTACGTCTACCAGTTGACTCAATATGTCTCCTCCATTTCTGGTTTTTCCAGCATTGGTAGATAAGAAATCATAAGTAAATGACGTGAAGGATCTGTTGCACGCCAGAGAAATTTGCAAATCATAGAACTCTATCCTATGAAAATTTTGCGAAAATCAGAGAAATGGTTTCTCTGAATTTTTCTGGTACATATCACAACATTCACAATCAGTCAATGCTTTCAAATGTGAGGCCGCCAGAAAGATGAGCCCTTTCGTCACGAGAGAGTTTTTTGTACCTCGTTAAACTATCCATGCACCGATACGGAGCAAATACAGGGTTATCCGCCAAAGTCACCGACCACCCGTGTAACTTTTTTCCTAATTGACATAGAAGTTTGAAACTTTGGGGATGTTCCTAGGTCCACGGTAGCAGCTGTTTAGCTCCCCCAAAATTTTGGTGGGCGCCTTTTCCTGAAGGGGACGGTGGCTAACTTTTTTCAAATGGCAACCCCCCATCCCTTTGTGACACTTCATTCGAAAGATAATAAAAAAAGAAAAACTTTGGCGCATTATAAAATGGCGGAGGGGTCTTATGGGGGCTAACTTTCTCCGCCCCTCCCCCAACCATGGTAGAATCCATGAAAGAAAAAAAGAAAAAAAATCTACTATTCAAATTTCTCTCGGGAGGGATGGGGGAGGGCACGGAGTTTCCCCTTAGCCCATGGTCTAGAGGAGGACTCTGATGCCTACGTTATAAATGAGTCCACCACAGACAACAGAGGAGGATTCTGCCTGGTATAGTTTTATCATGGATGCTTTTCAAATTGGTGGCGGTGAAATGGCAGCCTAGAGTTGAAAGTGGATATTCAGGCTGCTTATCGTTAGATGTGCATGAAACTAAGTACCCGGTGGTATTTCGGCACGAGAATATAGAATCTTTCATTGGATTTTTGAAATTCCGAAACATCTCGAAAGTGCGGCGAAAAAATTAAGGGAAATCTATATCTATACTATTAGCTCTCAAGCTTCCCTTACCATTTTTGGTAACGCTTTGATTGACCGCCTCCGTTTTGAAAAGGACTGACTTTTGTGGAAAACAGACATCAGAATAGTTTTTCTTGTCCCCAAAAACCCCCGGATTTCAAGTTTCATGCTAATTCGTCGATGAGCAACGGAGATGCTAAAATTCCGCCGTTTTGAACTTTGACCGGCCGGCATTTTGTAGAAAATCAACATTTTGATATGCGGTTTGCATCAAAATTTTTCTTTTAAATTATCTTTCGAATGAGGTGTAACAAAGGAGGGGGGGTGCCATTTGGAAAAAAAGTTAGCCCCCTTCCCGAAATTTTGGGGGAGGGGCAAAAAAGTTGCCCTTAGTCCCGCGGGAACATTACAAAGTTTTAAACTTCTGGGTCAATTAGAAAAAAAGTTACAGGGGTGGTCAGTGACTTTTGGATAACCCAGTATATTGGCAGGCTTCCCAATTTGTGCGGGGACTTCAAGGCTGCGGCCACGTCAGTCCTGCGGCCAATGTATTTGTCAAAGGAAATTAATTAGTCAAATCAGGCATTTTATCAAATGCCAGGCCAATAGTCAAATTTTGACAGTTCACAGAATTCTGCAAATTTATGGATAGGTTTTCACGGGTTTTCAATATTTTGGGAAGAATAACTCCTCATATCTGCGAACTCGTCTTGTTCCTTCCTTCTCAAATGCCTCTCGTACTTTTAAATGTTGACAATTTAAAACTTCTACGTTCTATGACGTGCTGAAAATTTCAAGATATATGTGCGTCCATGAACCAAACTCGTTTAAAATACTATTGGGTGCTGCGTATGTTTACAGACATTCTCTCGTGCAGGAGCAACGAATTATTGTCATGGGAACGGAGTTCCCCATGATATTACAATCGTTCCGTTGCTATCGCTATGGGATTCCCTATGCCTCTGCGACCTTGAGCGTTTCGCCCAGTCTTCGATTTTTGGTTGATTTTCCGATGTATTAAAAACCGTTGTATTTTTTAGCCAATCATGTCTCTACGTCAAGTTGTGTTGATTTCTAAAATTCGCTTTCAGCGAGTTT